TTTCATAACCCCCTTTCCATATAGGTATAATTCATATCCACGACTTGAAGCTCTCTTATTTATCAATAATATCTAGGGTAGGAACCCTTACTTCCTCTTCTTGACGTCATTTTTGCATAATGTTCTGGAATCGTAGCATATCTGTAGGATTTGAATAAGTGCAATCTCATCCCTTTCTCATTTTTATCGCATTCTTCCTTTACCATTCCATAGTTACTAGAACCACTTAATTCTGACTTTATGCCACATCACTCTGTATTCCCCTCTTTAGGGGAATACTAAGATTTAGTGCTACGACGATCTACCTATAGATGTTTTACCTCTTCATCTTTGGCGTCTTTTCACATCATCGATGACCCTTACTTGCCTTGTGGTAATCCTTTTGTACCAAGGATAACAAAATTCTTTACTCACGAGGGTGACACCTAGTGTAACTGGCACACATAGTCTCTTAAGCTTAACTTTGCTCACATTGCTTACTTTAGGGAAGCGTCTTCCTGAATGACCTTTAAAGGTTATTCTTCTGTCGTCCATTCTATTATCACCGGGACGCGATCTCTCAAATTCTCATGATGCCGACTATTATCAAATCATTCGGTCCCTAATTCATGTTCAGCTTATCTTGTTCTCTAGCCCATACTGATTTCTTTTACTATGGGGTCTAATTTTTCCTTCTGGTAATCACGTTGGAATCACTAACTTATTTCTTGAAATGAGGATATGACTTTATGGCTTATACTCTTTTATTGTTTCAAGGCATGGCTCCTCTTGTCTTTCCTTCACTTAACTATAGACTCTGTCTTCGTGTCATATTTTGATTTACCTTTATCGCCCATATATCAGAGCTTACTCATAATACTTGATTTACTCTCTTCTTATTCTCTTGCTAATATTTATACCTATCACTTTATGTTGAAAACTTCAACAAAACGTTCTTTCACTTTTAACTCCCCTTGCTTCATCTCACTAGCTCTTCGGGACGCCTAACATTCTCTCTTTACTGGGGACGGGAGCCATACCAAGGTAAATATTTATGCCTTCTAGGATTTCCAATGCCTATTTTCTGAATTTTTTGAACATTCTAGTATTCATATCTAGCTGTATTATTCTAGAGTGCATCATCTGTGTGTCTCACAAGGAGATCTATTAGCATATTTGCAATATTATTCGAAAATATTAACTAACGCAAACAATCCATCCACCATTTTGGGTCACTCTAACCCCAGCCGGATCCTGATATATCTTCCTTCTCTTAAACTATATCTGTTAACTCTCATAGGGCATAACTGAGATGGGTGTGGCCGATTGTACATACATCTATTACTGTTGAAGGTAACTCAAAATGCTTATATATCTCTGCCTGAATTGTAAATATTGATAGTCTTCATTAACTGGGTGCCTCGTACCCTTCTTCACTTTGCTTCTTTTACTTGTTAAAACTTGTATCTACCTTCTGAATCTCTCATTGCTTTTCACCATATGGGTGTATAGATATTCTTTCCTTAAGGCTCCTTATCAAGAAGCTTACACATCTTAGTACACACATGATCTGCTGAAGACCTCACATTTATCCATCATAAGAATGATGTGAAATAGAGTTCCTCTAACTCAACTCTTTCACAACCACATGCAATCTCTTACCAACTGTCTTTTGGATGTAGGTATCGTCTTATAACGAATAAAATAGAATTTAGGAGTTTGAATTCTTACAAGTGAGCTCTACCACATGATCTAGAGTAAGAAGAAAGAGTGACAGTCCTAAATGCCTTGTAGCCTCCTACTTATAAGTGTGGTGCACAAAACACCCATAAACAAGACTCTACTAGACATGACATGTAGACTCCCTAAGACAGAACTGCTCTGATACCACTTTTGTCACGACCCAAACCGATGGGCGGCGACGGGCACCCACTGCCTTACTCAACCAAGTACCAACGTAATATATCTTTCGTATCATACTATCATAAGTAAATGAGCCAGAAAGGCTGTCATGAGATAACTAGAATAAAACACGAGGGAATAGTGGACATAAGACGACCCAACATGATATAGAAACTTATACATGTGACATACGAGCCTATATGGCCGACATGATCATTTGTAAACTCAAAACATAGGCCGACAAGGCCATACAAGTATCCATATACATGACATATGTCTACAAGCCTCTAAGAGTACATAAACGTCATAAAGATTGGGACAGGGGCCCGCCATACCGATCACTACATGTTAAAAGCATACTGACCAAATAGGCAACTCCAGAGCTAGTGGAGTGCACCAACACCTTCTGTTGAGCTGATAGTATACTAAGAGGACTGTCAACCTTTCTATCAGGACCTGCGGGCATGAAACGCTGTATCCCCAGGCAAAAGGGACATCAGTACAAATAATGTACCGAGTATGTAAGGAATGAAAATCAGTAAATAAAAGACATGAGAGAAACATGGAGTAAAAGACTCAACATGTAAGTTTGAATAGCTCTATGAATCATTTAATATTTATAAAGTCATGTATATGCGTATAAATGTCATATGATGCATAGGTATATGCGTACATAATATCATCAAGCCTCTGAGGGCATCCCATCATATCATATCGGCCACTGTGGGAGAAATCATCAACATATACCATCTGATCAGGTGGTGCTGCATATATAACATCGTAACCTTTCCTCATACCTCATACNTTTGGTCATGGGCCAATGTACATGTATAAATAAATGCAATGCATAAGAAGTAAGTTAATAAGATTTCTCGATATGTCATAAGATCAATATGCCTTCGGATAAATTTTATCAACTACATATTTTTCTGAGACCTATGAACAGAAGATATAATAATAAGACACATGGTGAATCAAGAACATAGGCACTCCTAGTGCTTCTATGAATAGAGGCATTTATGAAAGTTGTGTGTTTGCTCGTTTCATTTGTATCATAGGTCTCATGCCAAAATGAAAGAAGGGATAGCCTTAACATATCTGAGCCTATTCTCTTAACAATCCTTCTAACCCATGTCTTTTGCAATAAAACACGTAACGGCGGATCGATAGTGAAAACAATCTGTATGATATTCTTGAGAAAGATTGTACCGTACTCCTTTAGAATTGCAACTCACGTTGCTATAGCATTAAGTAGTTTCGTATGAATTCTTTTGTGTCTCCATCCGTTACTTAGAAACCATAACATCACACTTTAATGATGTAGGAAGATATCTTATCCTTGTAGGTTGTGGGTCCCATTTGATAAGGATTAATTTTGCCACAAATCCCCTAAATATGCCACCTAGCCACATAAGTCAAGAGTCACTCTTTGGTCTTAGCAAATATAACCCCTTTCTTCCATGTGGGGGTGATGTTTCCACCAAATACTTATCCACCAATTTCTAATTAATTTGTTAACTTCGCACTAAAATCAATAATTAACCCCTTACCAACATAATTAGGTAATATCCTAATTTACTTAATATACTAATCACTTTTAACCTACTTTATAAACCTTACTATCATGGTCATGTGGTATAGTGCTAGTCCATAAATATAGGGTATTGTAGCTTGGACCGTATTTTATCTCAAAATGTCAAACTTCGACGAAACTCATTTTCTTCGATTTGCTTACCCTCTCACCTTTACGAATTTACTTATCACGTATTTGAAACAGCATAATACTTACAACCTCAAAATAATTTTGTCCATGAACTGATGTTAATTATCTAACGACAAATCCAACATACAATACTACGGGTGTAACATCATCGTAATACTGCAGAGTGTAACATCGACGTAATACTACGGGGTGTAACATTCCCGTTATAAAGGAAGATCGTTATTGGAATAACATCAAAATCTTTGTCCCCAATGAGGTGCAAAGATTCACCTTTAACAAGCCAAGGTTCATGTACGTTTATACATACCCTTTTACTTTTAAATTGGGTAAAGAAATTAACCCTATAATTTTATAATTTTGTCATTGCTACCAAATTTACTTGGCTTAGGTGAGTCCATCAATATGGCATACGGTGGCCTGCCTTCGAATATTGTGCTCAGAGGCCGGAGAAACCCTCACTCTCACACACTTGATCAATCTCTACTCCCCTAAGAACTTCTATGAGGGAGTGCTTAAACTCAGCAAACGCAGCCACCATGCCCTCTTTAGCAGCGTTGATGATCATAACAATTGTAGATGGATGAAATGGTTCGTTGTTATTGCTACCAGGGACATTCTCCCGGCAACAACCCCTTCCATTCTTGAATCTTGGAATTTTACTCGTAATTAGTCTTCGGATACCCTTTCTTTATCTCGTTTAAAAGGAATTTCTTTCTTTGATAACTTTTATTTTCTCTATTCCAGCTACTCATTGATAACCACCATCGGTTAAGAACCTGACCCAACGAATAAAAAATATTCTAGATATTTCCACACTGGACTTTTGTAGGTGGAAAGAGATTGTCCCCATATTCAATTGGAAAGGCAAAAACCACTGTAACATCTTCCTTTTTTCCTTTTCAACTTTCAACATGACTTAGAATCAACTTACTAACTCTTTTTCGTAATACATAGGCCTTCCGAAAGGGTCTTCTATTTGCCCTGCTATTGAGGTTTGCGATGACCCAGAGGAAGTCAATCAACAATTACAAGATGTCCTTAACATGAAGAAGGCTCGTGAAGCTGTTATTTATTCCGGTGAAGGCGCCTCATCCCGAAGTCCCCAACCCAAGGACAAGAAAACAAAGAGGAAGCGTACCTCTACGGGTGGGATTCGGGAGAAAACTTCACCAAAAGAAGCTCTCGTTGGACCAGCCATAGTGGTACAAGATGACGAGGAAACTGATGATGAAGCGGTTCCTCTTCAAAGAAGAAAAAGATCTTCATCAACTCAATTGGATTCTCACATGGGTGAACTCCAAACAACACAATCGGGAGAAGTTCAAGGACTCTTCACGGAAATGGAAATAATTGAAAATGTTGAGTCTCGTTTTTGGGCTCCTATCGACGCTTTCGTTTAGAGGAGTACTACCACTGACATTCTCCTGCCATCAACTTTTGCACCAACTGCAATCGCAACATCTCCTACACCGACTGCTTCCTCTCCACCTGCCCCAACCGAACAGAGAGAAAATGTTCCTTCCCCATAATCATCCGATCACGGGAATTTAGGGAACACTTAATCGGCACCCACTCAAAACCCTAGTGGAAAATGGAGTTTCATTCTCATGGTTTCGAATGAGTGTCACATACTCTCCATGCCGATGGAGGTTGCTAATTACCTGAAACCTTTGGCCACAGACAAAGACTGTAGAAAGATGGTCAATCTTTCTACTGAATGTCTGATCAACAATAGCATGCACTGTTCATCCCAAGTATTAATTTAATCTTTTTCTATTTTCTTTTTTCCTTACTAAACATTGCCATTGTAACCTCAAATTTAACCTTTTTAGACTAACCTCCTTGCTTCTGAGGACCTGCAAAAGTTAATTTTGGACAAGGAAGAGCTTACTACGATACGAAAGCAACTTGTTGCTGAACGAAATCAGCTTGCCGAGCACCTCCAAGTTTTGGAAGCAAAAGTTGGTCAAATGGGCGAACTCGAAGCCTGACTGGAGCAATCTGAGCAAGAAAGGATGTCCCACAGTCAAGAAGTCTCTCAATTACATGAGGGCCTAAAGGAGGCGAAGGCCAAGTGGGTTGAACGGCATAATACTGTAACTAGGGAGGTTTTGAGTCACTCTAACCAAAATTGTGCCTTACCTTAACCAAAAGCCTAAACTACAACCCTTTAAGTCCTAATAGATTTTGAACCAAGTTGGTCTACATTAGTGGAGAAATAAATGAAGGGCAAGCCTATGGTACTACTTGTGTGTATTTGAACATCTTTGTGAGAGATAGTTAATTCTTTCCATTTGATATTCCATTTATGTTTTAAATTACAATTTATGAGTGTGGTATTCTCTATTAAGTGTGAGGGCACATGATATTTGAGTTGTGAATTTAATCCCATTTTCAGTTGGGAGAAATGAACAAGGGAAAGTTATTTATGATAAAGAGGCAAATTTTGAAGCTTTAGTGTCATGACTTGATTGCTACTTTGATTAACATAGTGTTTGACCACGTGAATTGTAATGAGATTTATGAGAAGTTTTTGGTGTTTCATATGCTTTGGATTAATTGTTGGCACCAATCAAAGTCATGTGTTTGTACTTAAAGTAGACCTTTTGACTTGGTATGATATTGATGCACTATTGAGTTGATTACATGGAAGGAGATTTGCTTTGATTGCTTGAGGACAAGCAATAGTTTAAGTTTGGGGGTTTGATAAGTTGGTAATTTACCAACTTATCTCGTCTTTAATCTTAGATTTTTGCTAGGTGTGATTGATAAAATAGTGTGTTTAATGTTGTTTACTTCTATTGTACAGGTTTTATGTGATTTAGAAGTGATCGGAAAGAAACCAAGAGAAAACAAGTCAAAAAGGGGCTCACAAACATAAATCTGGAAATTGGCCTCAGGGGTCGCAAATGCGAGCAGTAGCTCGCAATTGCGAAGTCAACCAAGAAAGTCAATGTGAACATGTGAATCGCAATTGCGAATCTAACTGAGCAAAACAACGTTCGCAAATGCGAAATAAGGTACGCAAATGTGAAGTCAAACAAGACAGTAAACCTTCACAAATGCGAAGTCCTCCATCGCAAATGCGATTATGAACAGAAAAGCAATGGTTCGCAAATGCGAACTTTCCTTCATAAATGCAATGATCACGCTTCTGTTCTGGACACTTATGTAATTTTATATTTTTTGATTTCAAACCCACAAATACACTACCTAGCTTATTGGAAACACATCTTTGGCTTATGTTTCAGTCTCTTGACTAGAGAAGACAAGTTTGGGAGCTAGGGTTCTTGCACACACACTTGGGTCTTGAAGATTGGAAGATTTTGGTTGAGAATTTCTTACCCATTTATATTCATTTCTTCATTTTCTTGCTTTGTATTGTATATCTAAGTGTATAATATTTTTTCCAACACTTTAATCTTATTTAATTCATATTTAAAGTATGGATTAAATATGTTATTTTGCTTATGTATTGAACGATTTTTATTTATTATAAAGTGAGTTATTGTTTCTTTAATTATTCTTGTTCTTTAATGTTTCCAAACGGATTAGCTAACCCTAGGACTCGCCCGTTAACTTCGAATTAATTTTGGAAAAGATAATTTGGGGTTGGAAAAGATTAATTAATAAGAACTTGTGGCCATATTCGGGTGTGCTTAATCTCTTACTTATTTTAGGAATAATTCAATTAGGAAGTCTTGTTAGTCTTCGATAGAAGCTAATATAGAATTATTACCCGAGGCTAATTAACATAAACTCGCTCATATTTATAAAATTTTGAAATATATTGGATCGTTACTTGAGTGTAATTTTCTTTATATCCATGCTTGTAGCCATTGATCATTTTACTTGCTTTCTAGGTTAGTTTATAATTTCGCATTTAGTTATAAATATTTTCTCAAAATCTTTCTAAGTGCTTGACTTAGCATCTTCCCTACGATAGAAAAGGCCCTCTTCAAATCTCTTCTCGTATATTACCTACGATAGAAAACAAATATCGCTAATCATAAAGCTTAGTGGCATATAAACTTTAGTCTTGGAGCCATTATATTCTCTAATTCCCCTTTTTCTGTCATAGGTAGCTCAAATGAAACATAATTTTTAAAGAAATTAATAAAATATACCAAAGGTATCGAATATCAAACCTTGAAGTGTTTCTAAATATCAATATCAATGTTCATGATTCAAGTGTCAAGAAAGCGTATAACATCAATCAGAGAGAGTTTGCCAAATATCTATTTTTGCCCAATATGTACGTCATGCCATCACACTAAGAATAATCAGATATCAAGATGGACCAAAGCCCCAAATAAAGTAGGGTCGAAACCCAATAGTCAAGAGAATCAAGAACCATATTAAAAATAGTTTTCTAGTTCATACTAAATACGGACAAGTTCCATAATTTAAGACGAACTACAAATCCAAAGTCGAGATAGCAAATGACCCAAATCAAGAGGCATGCCGAGATGAGTGATAAATTCACTGCCACAAAAAGGACAAAGTCCCAACAAGAATGCAAAATGATCAAGCAATCCGTACGAGTGGTAGATTTAGCGAATATCTCACAATATTGAGATAATGCCAATACAACGATATAAAGTGAAGAGAAAGGAAGCAAGATTTAAATTTATTTCCAGATATCCAAAAAGTACAGAGATTTTCAAGATCAAGTTTATACACAAACCTTAGTGTTTTACCAAGAAATAGTTCAACCGCAACTTGAGGATGTTCGATCATCTACGTCATAGACCAATCAACTCCGATCACTACCTCAAACACTTTAACTTAGATTTTACAAGGGTATATATACCCTAAATACATAATCAAATAACTATATAAGTTCAGTGATTTCAACATATCAAACTAAACATGATATCGGTAAAACCACCCTAAATATTTGAAACAGAAATTCGTGTTGTAGCTATGTTTTGAATATGTAAAAGGAAACACTGGACTTCATGGTCTTTATGAAAGTTGTATATATATGTGTTAGTGTTCCAAATAGTCTTGAATCAGCCCCATATCCGTTTTTACAAAGAGTTATGCTCAAAATACTAACAGTAGTACATGGAGGGTTTGTAAAACAGAGAATTTGGGCAACACATGCACTATACTTTATCACCACTTTTCGGATAAATACAAGCAAAACTAGGTTTTGGTGCCTGAACAAAAGTTATAGAGCTACGAAATATATTTCCGAAAAGGTTTGGCTCACTTCAAATGAAGTTTTATACAAGGAGGTATGATAAAGAAAACTAATAGTTATCTCGTGTAAAAACGGGTTTAGTAACTTACCACAAAAGAGAGGAGCAACTTGAGCTTCGCCAAGAACTAGTTTGGCTGGTTGGTTTAGTGTAAAATTATGATGGTTTTCATGTAGTATTTCATGTGATAATAAGGAGAGAGGGTTGGGATATTCTTTGGCATGAAGGAATGAAATATGAGAGGAGGTTATAGAAAAGCAAGTCACAAAAGTAATATATATGAACTTTGGATAAGTATGAAAAAGGTGGCTTCCCAAACTACTAAATATCTTTAGATTATAGAAGGTTTTCTATGCAAAACATTATATATATCTATTGTATTTCATAACAATGCATCAAAATGATGTTAAGTGTTAAGCATAGCAATTCCATGACTTCTTTGTACATATTAACACAATCTAAAGTAGGTAATTTTCATATATCGTCAAATTCACGTTTAGGAAGTGCGAAGTAAAATCTACGAAGTAAAATCTATCCTCATTATAAATATGGTCAATTAAGAATGCAAATATTAGTCTAAAACTTTGGGGTGTTACAACTTTCTCCCCCTTAAATAAATTTCATCCCAAAATTTACCCTATACTAGTCCCGAAACAAATGTGGATATCGAACTCGCATATCGTCTTCTCGCTCTCAAGTAGATTCCTTGCGATAATGACTTCTCCAAAGGACTTTCACTAAGGGGATTATCCTATTTCTAAGCTCTTTTATATTACGCGCTAAGATTTGAATAGGTTCTTCTTCACATGTCAAATCAGGATTGACCTCAGTAGATTCAACATGAAGAACATGAGATGGATCTGAGCGGTATCTCTTAAGCATAGAATCATGGAAGATGTTATGGATCTTTTCTAAATCAGGTGGAATAGCTAGTTTATAAGCAACTGGGCCAACTCTCTCAAGCACTTCATAAGGTCCAATAAATCAAGGACGAAGTTTACCTTTTTGACCAAATATCATATTCTTCTTCCATGGAGAAACCTTTAAAAATACCTTATCGCCCGCTTGATACTCAATTTCACGCCTCTTTGGATCAGCATAAGACATTTGTCTATCTGAATCATTTTTAAGCGATCCTTGATGATTTTTACCTTATCTTCAGTTTGTTGAACAATCTTAGAACCTACCAATTTCCTTTCGCCAACCTCGTTCCAACAAAGAGGAATTCTACATTTTCTCCCATATAAAGCTTCATAAGGAGGCATGCCTATACTTGATTGGTAGCTATTATTGTAAGCAAATTCTATCAAGGCTAAGTGTTTGTCCCAACTACCTTCAAACTCAATAATACAGGCTCAAAGCATATCTTCCAAGTTTTGTATTACCCTCTCAGACTGGTCATCTGTCTAAGGATGGAAAGAAGTACTAAAATTAAACTTGGTACCCTAAGCTTCTTGCAAGCTAGTCCAAAATCTTGATGTAAACCTCGAGTCCCGGTCAGATACAATAGAAACAAGGATCCCATGCAACCTCACAATCTCGTTAATGTACAATTCTTCTAAACGTTCAAGTGATTAGTCCATTTTGGTTGCCAAGAAATGAGCACTCTTGGTTAGCCTATCAACTATAACCCAAATTGCATCATGAGATCTTTGAGTGAGTGGAAGCCCAGAAACAAAGTCCATTGTTATTCTCGCCCATTTCCACTCTAGTATCGACAAGGGTTATAGCAAACCAGTCGGGACTTAATGCTCAGCCTTTACTTTTTGACAAATCAAGCATTTAGAGATAAACTCTACAATGTCTTTCTCCGTACCATTCCACCAGTAGTGTTCTTGGATGGTTTGGTACATTTTAGTGCCTCCGAGATGAATTGCATATGGTGAAGTATGTGCTTCATTTAGAATCTCTTTCCTTAATTTGTCAACTTTAGGAACATATAACCTATTTTTGAAAAAATAGGACACCATCCTCCCTCAATTTAAAATCAAGTTTTTCTCCATTTTGAACTTCTTTGAGCAGTTTTGCAAGCTTCTCATCCAACTTTTGTGCTTCTTTTACATGTTCAAGTAGAACTGGCTTGACTTGCAAACTAGCAATAATAGAACCATCAACTTTAAATGCAAGACAAGCATTCATTTCTCTCAATTCAAGATACAAAGGCAAAGGACTTAGAGATAAACCAGCAAAGGATTTGCGACTTAGAGTATCGGTAACCACATTGGCTTTACCTAGATGATAGTCAATTGTGCAGTCATAATCCTTGATAAGTTATAGCCATTTACGCTGCCTCAAATTCAACTATTTCTACGTACCCAAGTACTTCAAACTCGCGTGATCTGTGAAAATATGACACTTTTCGCCATACAAGTAATGTCTACAAATTTTCAATACAAACACTTTGGCTGCAAGCTCAAGGTCACGAGTTGGATAATTCAACTCATGTGGTTTCCATTTTCGAGAGGCATATGCAACCACTTTCCCTTCTTGCATAAGAATACAACCCAAACCATAATGAGAAGCATCACTATATATCACATACTCTTTTCCTTCAATTGGTAGAGTAAGTATATGAGCTTTAGTCAATAAATATTTGAGCTTTTCAAAGCTCTCTTGGTATTTGTCATCCCACGCAAACTTGACGTCCTTCTTCAAAAGTTGTGTCAAAGGATAGGATATAATGGAGAATCCGTTGACAAACCTTCTATCATATCCCGCTAAGCCCAAGAAACTTCGTATTTCAGTTGGACTTTTAGGCGGTTTCCATTCAACAATAGCTTGAATCTTACCATGATCAACTTCACACCTTCTGCTGACACAACATGCCCCAGAAAAGCCACTTTACTAAGACAAAATTCACATTTGGAAAGCTTCGCATAGAGCTTTTTCTCCTCCAAAATTTGCAAAACAATTCGGAGATGTTTATCATGATCTTCACTATTCTTGGAATTTATTAAAATATCATCAATAAATATCACCACAAACTGATCAAGATAAGGCTTGAATACACGATTCATTAGATCCATGAACACCGCAAATGCATCTGTTAACCCAAATGGCATCATCAAAAATTCATAATGACCATACTGAGTCCTAAAAGCAGCTTCAGGAACATTTTGCTCACTTACTCGCACTTGGTAATACCCAGACCTAAAGTCAAATTTGAGAACAACCTAGCACCCTTTAGCTGGTCAAATAAATCATCGATCCCAGGCAATGGATATCTATTCTTAATTATTACCTTGTTCAGTTGCCGATAATCAAAACAAAGCCAAAAAGTTCCATCTTTCTTTTTCACAAATAAAACAGGAGCTCACCAAGGAGAAACACTTGGGCGAATAAAACCCTTCTCAAGAAGTTCTTGCAATTAAATTTTCAACTCCTTCAATTCCACTGGAGCCTTTCGGTAAGGAGTTATAGAAATAGGAGTAGTTCCAGGAATAAACTCTATAGGAAATTCAATTTCCCTTTCCGAGGGCAACCCAGAAAGATTTTCAGGGAAAATATCAGGAAATTCACATACAACTGGCATATCTTTATGGCTTGGACTTTCTAGGTATGTATAAACTACATGAGTAAGATAAGCTTCACAACCCTAACTAATTATCCTTCTTTCCACAACCGCAGAGATAATATTAGATGTCAATGATCTTTCACGTTGAATAACAATGTGTGAAAATGTAGGAGCTTTAAAGGTCACACGTTTTAACCTACAATCAACTACTGCATGGTATATATCAAGCCAATCCATACCGATGATGATATCATAATCTTGAAAAGGCATTTCAATCAAATCAACAGGGAAGACTTGATTTTGAATCACGAAGGGACAACCTCGATAGATCTGATTACAAACAAACTGATGACCCAAAGGACTTTTGACAAGCACACCACAATCAAATCTAACAGATTTCACATTTTCAAGAAAAATAAGTTATTAGAAAACATAGGAATGTGTAGAACCAGGATCAAATAGTGTAACAACACATAGGCCAAATAAGTAAAATTTACCAACAACCATGTATGCCCCATCTTGGTCATCCCTCTGTCTCATAGCATAAGCTCGTGTTGTAGATCTTGACCAACTAGCTTGATTAGCTCCACATGCACCTTTGGTTTGGGTGTTTCTCGATCTTGCACCTATATTCTCTTGAGAAGGAGCGCTAGTAGGTTTCTGAACTGAACCTTCAGTATGCGGAGAAGAAATAGGATTAGGATTAGGGCAATCCTTCACTTTGTGATCGAAGCTCCCATAATTAAAACAAGCAACAGAAGCTTTCCTGCAAGTACCATAGTGATTCTTCCTACATTGTGCACGCGTGGGTATACGAGTCTTGACTTGGCCAAAATTTGGAGTGCAACTAGTAGAAATATTTCATCTATTTTGATTATGTTGAGCTGACCTAGGAACACTACCAACCTTTGAATTGTAAAACTTTCCCCATTTGGATGGACCACCATAATGTGAATTAGCTTTTCTGAACCTGTTTTCATTTCTACTATCTTGTTCCTTGTCAATTCTTTACCAAGTAAGAGAAATTATAACTAGTTTGGAAAACATTTCATGTTGCAGGACCGTCACAGACTTTCGGATAGAATCATTCAAACCATCTCTGGATCTCCTGCGCTTTTCTTTTTCATCATCAATAATACCTCCACCATAATGAGAAAGCCTGAGAAACTTTTGTTGATATTCAGCAATAAACATTACCCCTTTGCTTTACATCCAGAAACTCCTTTTTCTCCGCATCATGGTAAGCAGGTGGGACATACTTCATTCGGAATTCTTTAACAAAATCATCCCAAGTAAGCAGCTGAGTTTTTGCTTTGGCATTTGGTACACTTGCCCACCAGTCATAAGCATCCCTTTGTAACAGTGAGATGGCATACTTAAATTTGGCAGCTTCCGAACACTCTAATTGCTCCAATACTCTCTATATGCACTCAAGCCATTGTTCAGCATCAATAGGATCAACAGTGCCTTCAAACTCAACTCCACCCATTTTTCTCATTTTCTCAAAGCTTATTTCATTAGAGTCGGACATTGTTCTAGCCAAGTGACAAAAGAAATCAGCCATTTGCTGAAAAGTAGAATCAACAACATGAGTACTATGACTCATATGAGGATGTGGCCCAACTCTTGCATCCTGATTATTTCCCACTTCATATCCACTAGTATGGGGAAAATTAAGATAAGAATGTTCTCCAACCTCTTCTTGTAAATGATGTTGGGAATAAGAGTTATCTGAACCCTCACGAGCGGCTTCCATACGTCTATTAGAAGAAGAGGCCGTAACTTAATTATTACATAAAGGAGATCACATTGTATTAGGGACATGTACATGATGCATATGTACAATACATGCAATGAAGCATGTTAAAAAGAAACAAGTACACTAACAAGTCACAACAATTGTCCTAAAATACAAACCTAAAGCTCTGATACCAAAACTTGTAGCAACCACTTTAGGAGGGTGCTACTTACGAAACAAAACCAATTTACTACTTACAACGTTCAGAAGATATTAATTTAAAAAGACATTCATAACAATTTAGTAGCGGAAATAGGTTCATTCGATAAAGGTTCAAAGTGCAATATTTTGTTTTTGAAAATACACTTTGTAAAATTTCTTAAATGAAATATAATATCAAAGTATCAAGGTAATGTGATACAACCCTTATTGAATAATCAACACATTAAAGCAACTTCTTAACAAAATTGTACTTTTCGTTCAACATCACTACATGTTCATATTATACATGAATTTCAAACTAGCGAGTATAAAAGGAAAACTAGTCTTCTCCTTTGTAAATATTTACAAGACAAAGTATAAATTTAGCATATTACAAGACTTGGGTTATTAACACACCCCAAAACAGCAAAACAAGTCACCAAATTCAAGTTATAAGCTTATGATCATGAGATCCAACAAGCCTCCAAAATTACATACATAAGTGTGACATATAGAACATGTACAAGTCCCAAAACTATACAAAACCTAGGTGCATAAGCAAATGTGATCTCCACAAAAGATCCAGAAAAGTCTACTCCAAAAGGCCCTCTTAAATCTCTTCTCGCATATTACCTACGATAGAAAACAACTATCGCTAAGCATAAAGCTTAGTGGCGTATAAACTTTAGTCTTGGATCCATTAGATTCTCCAATTCCTCTTTTTCAATCATAGGTAGTTCAAATAAAATATAATTTTTAAAGCAAGTAAGCAAATATACCAAAGGTATCGAATATCAAACCTTGAAATGTTTCCAAATATTAATATCAATGTTCAAGATTCAAGTGTCAAGAAAGTGTATAACATCAATCCAAGCGAGTTTGCCAAATATCCATTTTCGCCCAATATGTACGTCATGCCATCACAATAAGCATAATCAGTTATCAAGATGGATCACAGTCCCAAATCAAGTAGGGTCGAAGTCCAATAGTCAAGAGAATCAATAACCATATTAAAAATGGCTTTCTAGTTCGTACTTAACATGTAAGTTCCATAATTTAAGACGAACCACAAATCCAAAGTCAAGATGGCAAAAGATCCGAATCAAGAGGCATGCCGATATGAGTGATAAATTCACTGCCACAAGAAGGACAAAGTCCCAACAAGAATGCAAAATGATCAAGCGATCCGTACGAGTGGGCGATTTAGCGAATATCTCACAATATTGAGATAATACCAATACAACGATATAAAGTGAAGAGAAAGGAAGCAAAAGTTAAAGTTATTTCCAAATATCCATCAAGTACAGAGATTTAAAGATCAAGTTTATAAACAAACCTTGGTGTTTTACCACGAAATAGTTCTACCACAACTTGAGGACGTTCAAATCATCTACGCCATAGACCAACCAAATCTGCCCACTTCATGTCACGACACCAGTTTCCCACCTTAGGATATCGTGATGATACCTAATCTCTAAGACTAGGCAAGCCGAACATGTAATAATAACTTAACAAAAATAATCAAACAGAATTACTAAAGCAAGACAGATAAACTCTTATCAACTTCCAAAGTAGAATATCTCCCACAACGCACCCAAAATCGGTGGGACTTAGTCATAAGCTTTACAGAGTAATCTATAATGTCTACTACAACACCGTATGAAAAAGAAAAAAAACAAAAAAATGAAATAATATGGAAGGTGACTTTGAGGCCTGCGGGCGCCGAGCAGGTATACCTTGAAGTCTCCGGATAGCAGCAACAATCAAACACTAACGTCCAGCACGAGCAGACATACTTGGATCTTCACAAAAAGATGTGCAGAAGAGTAGTATAAGTACATCACAACGGTACCCAATAAGTATCAAGCCTAACCTCAGTAGAGTAGTGACGAGGCCAGGTCAAGACACCTACTAGAACATAATAAACCAAACTATAAATATAATAACGAGAAGTAATGGAAAGCGGAGAAATAAGCGATAACGAAGCAGGTTAATAACGTAGACTAATGACCGAATTGTAAGCATAGAGTTACAAGAAGCAAGCAAATAGAGAGAACCACAATAGTCAAATACGGGCCAAAACTGGTAAGACAAGGAAGAATAAAAGCAAAAAAGAACTATTCTACCAATAACTCTTTTCACCATGAGATGCACCGCAAGAATCACAACCGAGGTACCGCCTCGTATACAACAAGAATCACAAATGAGGTACTGCCTCGTATTCACATTCTCAATTTCAATTACAATCTTTCCTTATATCGTCACGTGAGCCTTATATTTAGATAGTTTTGAAAATATATTTCTCAAAATAGCTACACGCATTTTAGCCCACCTTATGACGCCACGTGGCTTCAAGTAATTCCCTTATTAGCAACATGCACATAAATCCCATCTTATACTACCGCATGCACATTAACTTATATCCTTATATTGCCGCATGCACATCAATATCACAACACAATAACAACCCGTACTACAAGTGTCCATATGCCATAACTTGCCAAGAATCAACAATATCAATATTTCCACAACCATAGCCCAAGGCTCAACCACAATATGTACAAGAATATCTACAATAACAAAGAATGTAAATTGCTCAACAAAGAAGATATCTCAACACTTAACAACTTCACCTCAATATGATAACAGCCTTCCCAACTTCAACACCAATAACTCTACAAGAAGATATTTTCCGAAATAACAACTTCAAGTGAAAGTAATTCAACAATTAAGGATATAACAAGGCAATAAGGAAAGCAATAACTTCAAATAAAGAATATGAGCAAAGTATCAAGCAAGATGTAGAACAAGTGTTAAATAAGTCAAATAATGCATGTAAGGATAGACTAACACAAGTAAGAGTAGATTGACAATGAGCATTAAAACATGATATGAAAATTCAATTAAAGGCATAGAAAAAGTCTAAATAGCCTAAACTAGTCAAATACCAAATATAGCCCGTGTACCCACTTGTCACCTTGTGTACATGGCTTTCACATAACACAATTACCACAAACAAACCAATTTCTAAGGGGTAGTTCACCCATACAAAGTTAGGCAAGATACTTACCTAAACTAG